ATACATATAAGCTTCTCCCCATTCATCTCTAAAGCGCTATAGTTGGTTCGTGACAGCCAGCGGAGGACGAGAGAAGGCATGGTTTGCCCCCCCCCCCCCCCTCCCCGCCTGCCGGCTTCCTTCTGATCAACGGGGCGCGCTCTAGACGGCACCAATAATGGGTAATTAAGGCTTTCCGCCGATATTTGCTTGTTCGGGAACGCAAAAGCGGATGATAACATTTGTTCGTGTTTGCCGTCAGCTGAATGTTAATTGACAAAGTTGATGAGGTGGATGGCCGTGCTGCATGTAAATATGCTGTGTATCGGGAACTTCCAAAGCAGCCGTACGAAATAGTTGAGGCGGGTCGGTTTTGTGTCGGGATAATGAGCACGAAAGCGATATCGATGGCAGCAAATAATGACAATGATCATATAGGATGATGGTAATAACTGCGATGATTCATAGCCGTAATGATAAAAGTTTTGATTATAATGTCATCGTTGTCGTAAATACGAACAACTGCTTAGTTCATCAGCAGTGATGGAAATGATTTCAATGATGAGTCATAATAACAGTATTAACACTGATAATAACACTGAGAAGTGAAATTATAATCATAATAACCACATAGACATTAGCAATAATGACAATGAGTAATAGAAATTTACAGTGAAAGAAACTCCTGGCAATGAATCATGGAAATGCGCGGTAGTTAGGTGATCTGGTTCAACACAAAAATTCCATCATCTACTCTCAAGGCATGGCCAACCCGCCCGTAAATTTTCATCAAAGCTCATCTCTAACTTTTTTGCATAATCCCTACTCCCCCCCCCAAAAAAAAAAAAACATGCATATACGGAGAAAGGTAATTATTACCGTATTGTTATTATTATTTCATTTGTTTCTACTCACTACCGGCTCTATTAATTTGCTGGTGATAGCGGATTCCAGGAAAAAATAAACTAACTACTCTACTATTACCTTTACTCAATCAGTAAGACTAAACTGCTATCACAGGCCAACAACAAGGGTAACTGGTTCCTGTACCTATTTAACAAAAGCGGTTTCGCTTATTTAAATTCCATTAAACGTCAGACGAATCTGTAATCACTTCGAGATGTCAATATTCAGATGTCAATACCTAAATGATGAATTTACTGGTGGAACTGCCATGGTCTCATTCGGATTGCTAAAGGTTTCGAATGAAACACAGTTTTGCGAAGTGGCAATTCTATTTGATGATTAATACCCTCGAATGGCAAAAAATGGAAAAAGAAAAAAGGTTCATTCCTATTTTATCTGCTTAGTTTAATCCAAATTTTCTACCCTAAGTTCTTGTTCATTTTTAAAGAAAAATAGCAATAATTTTTTTAAAACAAATTCTAGCAAATAACGGCCAAATTCTGTAACAAACAACAGCAAAAAATAACACCAGTACAACGATTTCGCACTCCGGTTCCTAAAAAGACGCATTATTTTAATATATTATAGTATTCATATATATATATACTAATATTACTATATATATATATATATATATCATAGTACTTATATATCATTATATATATGTTACTATATATATATTATATGTATGCATCTATATATACTATACACATAGTATTACTGAGATTATACTTATATTGATATATATTATATATATATAGTATGCCATTATATATATATATATATATAATTAATATATTATATCATATATTAATTACTGATATAATATAATACTATATAATTATTACTAATATATATATATATAATTATAGTGCGAATATCATATATATATACCATAATATAAATATATGCATATATAAAGGGTGTATATAATATTATATATATTATAATTATTAATAATATTCATAATATATAATATTATATATACTATAGTAATATAATTATAATATATATATGCATATATTACTATATATACTACAATATTTATAGTTAATATCAATGCATACTAATTCTATATATATAATGCTGCTAAAATATATATTATATATATATAATATATATTATATTATATAAATATATATACATATTAATATATATATTAACTATATATATATATATATATAATAATATATTATTATTAACTATATTATATACTTTATTATGCATGTCTCTATCTATACTAATGATATACTACATATATATTAATATTATATATATATATATACTATATAATATATACCTATATGCATATTATATAATACTATTATAATTTATCAGTATATATATATATACATGGTATATATAATATTATATAATATTATATAATATATTATCCTTAATATAATATGTATATGACTATATGTGATATATATACTTCGTATAATACTATATCATCTATCTCACTCTGCATCCACTCACTCCGCTCGGTGCCATCCTATCAGGTGAGCACACTACTCGCGTATACATAAATATATAGTAATATATATACTAATATACGTATTGATACCACACCACACATATATTATAATATATATATGTATATAATATCAACTACTACCTTATAATATTAATATATATATAATATACTAATATAATTAGGTATATACTATATATATATATATATATATTACTAATACTATAATAGTAGTATAATTAAATGTATGTATTATATATGTAATATATATATAATATAATAATATATATATAATATACTATATATATACATATATATATATATATATATATATATATATAATATATATATATATTAATACTTTAATACATACATACATAATTATAATATATATATATATTATTATAATATATTATAATATATATATTGTTATATATTATCATGTATATATAATATATCATATATATAGATTTATATATATAATATACTATATCATATATATCATAGGAGATTAATATATATACTATAGTATAATTATTCTATCTATATATTAATA